CAGAATTCCCCAGCCAGCATTCGCTGGCTGGGGAATTCTGGGAGTTGAAGTCCAGACATCTTCAAGTTGCCAAGGTTGAGAAACACTGGACTAGTGTTTATGGCAACTTAAGCTAGTTCAGATAAACTGTCTCATCAATGAAACATTCTACAAGGAGCTATTTTGATCTTTACACCACTTGTTTTTATGTATAATGTACATGACCTTGTGTTTACCCTCTATGTTTTATAATATTTTTTCTGTTATTTTAAAAGCAATAAGATTATTTTAAAAATTTCCAGGGGACCTCCATGGTCCCCTCCTTCACTATAACATTTATATACATAGTGCTATGATTGCACTAGTGAAACTGAATCAATGACTTTTACTATTGACATATTATATGGTTTGGATTTTGTTAACGTTTTTTCCCTCCACAAAAGCCATTCAGCCTGAAAAGAAAAAGATTGCAGTTTACCAGTCAATAAAGCATTTTAGAAATGGTTTGTAAACACAAGAAATCACTAGGATAAAAATAAATCCTATACATTGATCCATTAGTAAACAAATCTCTTCATAAAATTACAAATATATGATCTTAATAAATACATTCAAAATACATTTAAAAATCTAATCACCCTTCAGGTTAAAATTATAGTCAGTTGCTGATTGTAAAGCTAAGACTTACCCCTGATTACATTTTGAAATTTATTCACTGCTCTGAAACCTGACATCTAGGAAGACAAGACTCTGTATTAATGCTTTTTAAAAAACTCTTTGTATGGTAGGGAAGCAGCTTGAATCAGAAGTCATGCAGCTTGTCCCTGTGGCTCACTCTTTTTTCTTACTTCTTTTGTTCTATAATTAGTATTCACTACTGGAGTGCAAGCAACCATAGTAGCAAAGTTCAAAGCCTTTTGGAAACTAGGCTGTAACTTGGAAAGTCTGGCAAGTTCAATTCGTGCTGCTGTACCTTTAAATTCTGAGATAAATCCAGAGAACTGTGAGGTCCAGCCCTTGGTGGGGGGAAAGCAAAAACTACAGATGTTTTTTTTTTTCAGAGCAACTACATAAGGACTGAGAGCACAAAGAAGATTCTGGCAAGCCTCCATCCAGCAACATGGGAACGCATGTTGTGTGTCTCCTGCTAGTCCTTACCCTGGTACGCTCATCTCTTGCACAACCAAAGCTCCTACTGTTTTTGCTTGATGGGTTTCGACATGATTATATCTCTGAGGAAGCACTAGAGACTTTGCCTGGCTTCAGAGAGATTGTCAGCAGGGGAGTGAAAGTGGATTACCTAACCCCGGACTTTCCCAGTCTTTCTTATCCAAACTATTACACCCTGATGACTGGTGAGTACCTTCTTAAACTTTCTTGCCACCAGCCTGAAGTGTCTCAGCTCAGATTTCCATAACTCTGCCTGCAGAAGTCAATGCAGACAAAAGTTTCTGAGGTGATGAACATTTATCTTAGCAAAGGTTACTGAACTTTGTTAAACAAACAGTACAAAGTAAATCTGCTTGATACTTAAGAAAGCAACCTTTTGTACAAATGCTATCCCACCGATTGTTTAGAATTTATCATTTCAATTTCAAAATCCTCAAGGTGAAAATACCCACTCAAATTTATTTTAAAAGTGCCGATTCCAGTTAATTATTTGTATTTGTTTAAAATTTAAAATTCAAGCCAATGTCCCATCAACAACTCTGAGATGTTTAGAAGGATTCAAAAGATGAGTTAATTGCACTACCAAGTGCCGATTAGACTTGTCCTATCAGGAAAAGAGAATTCCTGGAATTATTCAAAGCAATTAAACAGTTGTAGAATGCAGGATGTTTTTCCAATTTAGCATAGAAATATAAATGGTTCTTCCCATGCTTTTCAAACCAGCTGAATGACATTTGGCTCATTGATAAAAATGAATATTCAAGTTTCAGCATATTGTAAAAATACTTTAATGAGATCACCAGCCCTTTAACAATAAAACTTGCATCTTTTTAAACTAAACTTGGAAATCCACACTAGGACAAGAAATAAGTTGTTCTATTTTTAAATGATAATAAATCTGTTTATGGTTTACTAATTACTCCCTGTTATGAATCTGAAGAGCACTTCCTGTACCTTGCGAGATGTAACTTTGTTTTTTCAGTGGACAAATATGATAATTTCCATTTCTCTTCACCAAGAAACTAAGGTTTGTTCATCCTTAGCGAATTGCAATGTATCTGCTTTCTTAAAACAGTTTTAACATACTGGTACAAAGTATGTGTGCCAGTGCTTCCCGATGTAACACTTGCAAAATAAAAATCCTTTAGAGCCATCATAACATTACAATTAATTGAGTTTGATCTGGTGCAGTAATAGGCACATTGCATCCTATGATGAGAGATCAAGCCTTCAAGACTCACAATTATTCATTTAGGGCGCTGGCTTGTATTTCATCCCATAGAAAGTCTTTTGCATTTCCACAGTCTTTTGGTTCCTTCAGAACCAGCATTTATGACCTGTTCTCAAAGCTCATTTTTCCTTCTTAATCTGATTGGAACAGTAGTAATGCCAAGCAAACCACAGAAAATGTGTCCAAAGAGTATCCCACAGGACCTATAATTAGACGCAACACATATTTTTAAAATGCCTACTTGTTATCTGATTGGAACATCCCACCAAAGAAATAGCTGTATTTCTTGGGATGAGAAAAAACAATCTTGCTGCCCTCACATTACTGAACAGTGTCAGAATCTAAGAAGGAGGTACTGCCCAGTTTATGGCTACTTATCAAGAATCCAATCCCACTTTCCTGAAAGAGGGTTGCTTCCAAGCAGCTGTCCAAAATACAGCAGTATGATCATCTCTGAATGTTAGATAATGATAGCGGTGATTTGTAATGGCAGTGGTGAAACTTCTACAGACAATAATGCTCTGTTGGAAAAATATTAAGATAAGCAATTTAGCTCCTAGTTCAACTCTCCTATGCTTGTCTTCTCAAGATGATAACACACAGAATTGACAATATTTCAATATCCAGCATTATCAGTTCACTTGCCAACAACTTGATTGGCCTAGATGGGAAAGTAGCCTACTTATTCCAAGGCTAATTTTTATATCATCAAGAGTCATTTAAAAAAAGTAGTGCTTTAGTGTTATCTTTAGATTATAATGAAGTTAATTCTGACATTGGCTATATTATGAAAATCCTAAAGTTTGAAGTTCTTAGAAAATATAGAATTGATAGACAAAATATTTTCACATTATCAAAATTTCATTTTTTTTTCATTTTTCATTTTTCATTTATTACGATTTATAGGCCGCCCTTCTCCCTGAGGGGACTCAGGGCGGCTTACAATCACAGGAAGGGGGTGCAATAATACAAGACAAACAATGAATAAACAAGATAAATAATAAAACACCAACTTGCATTCAACAGTCAACACTCGGGCGGGTAATTTAAAAACGTATCCCCAGGCCTGCTGGGAGAGCCAGGTCTTAAGGGCCGTGCGGAAGGTCTGGATGGTGGTGAGGGTACGAATCTCAACGGGGAGATCGTTCCACAGGGTCGGAGCTGCAACAGAAAAGGCTCTCCTCCGTGTAGTCGCCAGTCGACATTGACTGGCAGATGGGATCCGGAGGAGGCCCAATCTGTGCGATCTAATCGGTCGAAGGGAGGTAATCGGCAGAAGGCGGTCTCTCAAGTACCCAGATCCACTACATGTTTCTCAAATTGTTTAAGATGTAAGTATTCAATAGTGAGTTTGGTGACCAGATAAAATTTCAGTTTAACTTTTGTATTCCAATTTTATCCACTATTTTGGCTGTATTTATTTTTTCATATTACCATATTTTTTTCAGTATAAGACATGCTTATCCCCCTCAAAAAAGTGGATGGAAATGTTTGTGCATCTTATAGAGCAAATATTGCAGTGGGGGAGGGCACTTGGTGTGGTGGCAGTGTTTCCCACTGCCACCAGTCACCACCGCTGCCATCAGTCACTGCTGCTGCTGTTCACTGCCGCCAGGGAACTTTGGAGCCTTCACTGCCAAGCAGCTGATCAGCCATTGGATCAGTCTCACGGAATACCACCAATCAGCTGTTCTAGGCAGCGGAGATTGCTGTTGCTGTTTGCCGCTGAAATTGCCATCAGCGATTGGCGGTGGTGGCAAATGGCAGTGGCAAATGGCAGCAGCAAACGGCTGATCAGTGGTATTCCGGGAGGCAGATCCAACCACGATCAGTTGCTTGGCAGTGAAGGCTCCAGTGTTTCCTGGTGGCGGCAGCAGCTCAGCTCAGTTAACTGTTGGTGAGCATAATGGAGCAAAGCCCCGAGAAGCCACATGCTGGAGCTGTGATAAGATGCTGAAGCTGATCAGGCTGTTTGCTGTTTGCTGCAAGGATGCTAGCTAGATGAATACTGGATAGATGCTGAGAGGCAGAGGCAGATTTTTTTCTTGTTTTCCTCCTCTAAAGCGAATGTGCGTCTTATGCTCTCGTGCATTATAGTGTGAAAAATACAATATTTATGTTGTATACCATTTTAATTTTCATTACATTTGGTGGGTGCCTTTTAATTGGATGTAGATTTTGCATCGTTACTATAAACTACTATAATCTTTTTGAATCAGTGTTAAAGAAAGAATAAATATCAATAAATGAAACAGAATTTAAATATTATTTGAATTACTAAAGAAAGTAATTCTTCTTAAATGCAGTTACAAAAATATCTTAGAAATCAAATATATAATCTAGCAGTGTATGTGCTTCTTTATTAATCTATTAAATTAATAATACCAACTTAAGAATCCTGATGTACATATAAGAATAAAGGATCCTAGGACAATGAAGATAATTCTGAATTGGATTTTGAAAAGAGAGGAATCCTCAACTTATTTCTTTCTTAAAGCTGAATTTGGTCTATTGTGATCTAATGCTGACTTAAGACATTGTGGTGTCATTTGTTGGTTTTGTCCTATTTTATTGTGTGAACCAAGCAGTCCAATGTGAAGAATGAAAAATCTGATGGCTTCTCTGCAGGTTTGAAAATCAGAAGTGCATTTTTTTTGTAGTGTTAAGGTTTGAAGAATAAAAAATGTAGTTTAATTCTTAAACCCTGAAAGGTTCCTGATTGAGCTTCGGACTTTTCCTGAATCCCTTGCTCACAGTTCGACCAAAGCCCTAGCAGAAGCCTGGGATAGGGCGGCCACTGGGGCCTTGGACCGCATTGTGCCTTTGCGGCCTCTGACCCAGTGCTGATCCTGAGTAGCTCCCTGGTTTACCGAGGAGCTCCGGGAGATGAAAGTCCAGAAAAGACACCTAGAGAGTGATTAGAGGGCCAGCCGGTCCGAATCCGACCAAACACTAGTAAGAATTCATATTAAATCCTACTTAGTGGTGATAAAAGCAGCAAAATGGCAACATTTTTCCGCTCTTATCGCATCCGCAGATAACTGCCCAGCCACCCTGTTTAGGATGACCCGCTCCTTACTTAACCAAGGAACTGGGGAAGACCCCTTGCAGGGTAGGGTTGAGGAATTTGTTTAGTATTTGCAGGATAAAATTGCTCAGATTCGGACAGGCTTGGACTCTGACTGGGTAGATTCGGGCGAGTCGACGGGGATGAATCTTGTGGAAACTATCTGGGATGGGTTTGACACTGTGACTCCTGAGGGCATGGACAGGATTATGGGGAGACTCAGTGCAGCAACTTGTGTGTTGGACCCGTGTCCCTCCTGGTTAGTTTCGGCTTCCCGGGAGGTGACACGAGGCTGGCTCCAGATGATTACCAATGCTTCAT